GGGAGAGAAATTATTTTCTCACTTCTCATTCGCTCGTGGAGATAGGTTTAGATCCGGCCAAACTCTTTCAGCGGGAACCTGTTCGGCTAAAACTGCTCCAGATTAACCAGCCAATGATTGAGGGCTATCCCTGCTTTGAGCAGCCTCATTATTGCGAACATCTTCAACCTTCACGTACATTTCCAACATCTTTATCAAAATTAATTCCCGGTATTCATCCGAGTCCCCAAAAATCTCTCATAGTTTCATCATCCTCAATGTTAATCTCAGTGTAACAAGCAACCCCTTGCGGAGTGACAGAATACGGATATCTTCCGGTTACCTTAAGGTTCACCGAACGTTTGCTCACACTCATTTTATTACACAATAAGGATACCAGTCTATCATACTCCACTGTAACGGCAACTTAACATGACTCTATGGAGATAACCTATAGCTCACTGAGTTATTCGCCACCACAACCTCACCCCTCCCCCCCCCCCCCCCAAATATAATGAAACCCTTACTTTTCGCTCTTCATACATTATGACAAAATGCTTGAGAATTTAACAAGAAGAAAAACTTACCAGGAGTTAGAATATTTTTGAATGGATTTTTGCAAAATCCTTAACGGCTTTAAATAAGGCAATGCCCAATCCGGGAGGAGGGAGGTCGAATTTTTTGAGGTAAAACGCCCTTTTAAAATGCGTTTTACATATTTGAATTATTGTTATGTCAGTTAAGCGCAGAAGAGTTATTGGTGGGCCCACAAAATATGTATAGCGCCTTTTATTAAGGCGCTATACCCTCCTGTCTTTTCATATTCAGGTATAGCGCCTTAATAAAAAGCGCTATATGTATAACACTCTTTTAAAGAGCGCTATACTTTAACGGGGAAAATGGGCGTTAAGGTATATCGCCCTTTAAAAGGGCGTTATACATATTTTGGTCATTAAATTTTTTTTCTACATATTTAAGTTATTTGAGTCCAAAAGAACCATATTTTGGTTCCTGACTCGTTCTAGGTTGGCGTGTCAAACCAAAAATATAATGGGCCCACCATAATCAATACATTGAGCAGGGGTTGTTTCAACGTGGCACAAGAGCTGCAATTTTAGCAGAGAACGGCGGCAATCTTGACGCAGCTACTGACAATGTCCAAATAATGCAGCAGCGAGTATAACTCTTTCAAGCAACCTAAATATGTGAAATATCAAAAATGTCCTAACGGTAAGCAAGCATGTCGTCCAGCAGCCAGTTAACTCTCTGTCGTTCATAGTTTATTATCATTGTCTCTTTTCAATAGTAGTTTGTTTTGTTTCACTCACTTCTTACTTGAAAGGTTTGATCTTGTTTTAAATTTTCATATGAAATGCTGCTGCAAAATGTATTTTATTGCCCCTAATTCCATTCCAGGTACTCCTTTCCTCTTTAATTTTTTTTCCCTACTTATTTCATACTTTCTCTTACCGTGACTTTTTTTGGTTTTAGCTATAGAGTATTCTTGCTGCTACTTCGGTTCCATGTCCTCCTTCTTCTCTTTTTTTATTTGCATATTTTCTTGCTTTTATTTTTTTTATTATATACGTAGATTGTAGCACTTTGCAACTTCTTATACTTTATTCTTCTTTATTTTTCCTTATTTCACTTTTCAATAAATATTATGCTTTGTTAATTAATTTAAAATGCTCTTTTTATTTTTCTTATATCGTATACAACAACAACATATCATGTGTAATCTCTCAAGTAAGATCTGGCAAAAGTTTCTTGTTCTTATCAATACCAGGCAGGCAGCTCTTTGAGATACTTGGCAGATGCAGGTTATCTGTATCAAAAGGTTAACAGCCAGTTTATTGCAAATTCAGTATCACCAATATCAGAAAAGCTCTGCCGTCTGTCAATTCCCAGTTTCCAGCTATTCGCTCCTTGCGCTTCCTGATCTTATCTTTGCACTTTTGTGAATTTCCCCGTTTGGATCATTGTTTCTTGTGAGTTTTCCTCTTCTTCTTCTTATCCCATGTTTTTCTATTTGATCTCCGATGGTATGCTAGGGCTTTATTGCTCAGAGAGTTTAATATGTCCGTCGGCTTTGTTCTTTAGGTGTTTGGGGCAATTCTTGAATGAATTAGGCATTGTTTTTAGATTTCTACTATTGTTTTGGGTTTAATTTCTCGAGTGTGAAATAGTTGAGGAACCCTACGACAAAATACTAACAACTGCTTTTGCTTCAATTAGACAGTACGAATTGAACTAAACCATCCATGCCTTGTGTCTTTTTCTCAAAAAGGAGAGAAATTTCAATAGAGTTTATTTTTTTGTTCATATGGATTAGCTGCTGAATCTGTAAAAGTCGATAGATGTTCTCAAAGTCTTGCTATTTTATTTACGTAGAAGAGGATGTTCAGAACGAGTAGAAGAAGATGTTGTTTTAGCAGTATAAGCTACTAAATAGCTATTTGGGTATGGTAACATCTTGAATTCTTGATATAGGACATAGAAAGGGAAAAATTAATTTTTCATGAAACATTATTCTCGCTTTCCTATAGGTTACATGCATATACTTATTTTATGGTACTGAGATTCTTTCGACATATATGCCCAATGCTTTAAATCAACTAAGAAGATAAACAGAAATAGCAAATGAAAGCATAATTGGAAGAGAGAGAGCTGACTGCTAGAATAAAGAATTAGCAGCAAAAGGATTAACCCCTGCCTGCTTATATAAACGCAAAGTCTCAAGTTGGATTCTTTCCTGAATTAAAGAAAAAAATTGTATATAGATGTAAGATCTGCTTGCCGGGCTGAATATAAAAGGGCACAACATTAATCATAATTCTCTAGCCAAAGAGAAAGAGCTGAACGAATTGTTCAAAGTCGCTATTGGCTAGCCTAAAGTGCCTCTTGGTATTATTCAATCTTAATAGTTAAAATTTTTATAAATTTTGACTGTGACAAATTTACTCTAATGTCAAATAAAATAATATTATTTTTTTGCTCTACATAAAGTTGGTACTTGATTTTTAATATTTTGTTCAAGTAAGGTTGTTGGATATATAGTTTTTCAATATAAGTTTTTCCTTTTGTTATGCTAAGAGAATTTTTTATTTTTTACAACTAAACTTTCATGGACTCCTATTTTTGAAATAAAATAGGTTTATGTTATCTTGCCATATTCTTTGTTAACCCTCTATATTTTTTAGACCTCTCAATATGATCATTGCTATTTGTTATTATCTTGATTTAAGAAAATCTTAGATTAAGTTGAAGCTTAAGAGATGTAAATACTTTCTCATATTCAACTGAAGTTAAAAGTTTGTGATTAATTTAACCAAGTTATCCTTCACTAAATATAATCTTTAATAATCTATTATTTGATTTTTATATTCAAAATCTTACTCATTAATAACATTCATATACTCGTGTCTAAGATCCAAAAATTATTTAACGAACAGTCTTACATCTAATCTCTCATAAATTTGAAAAACTATATTCTCTTTGATACTCAGTATCATTAGTGGAGACAATTCTCACTTCTTGTGTGCACTTTATCATTATAATATTTCAATAGATAAATACATTTTACATGAAAATAGTTTATACCATATTAACAAACATTTTATTTAATGAATATTTATGTACATTTGTTACTAAAGTATTGTATTACAGTTAGACTTTTTTATAACAATCATCCTCTATAATAATATTTTATTATAATGATCAAGTTTTATTGGGAATTACCATATTATGTTATAATACATATTATTATAACACTTTACTATAGCTGCCACAATATATCGAAACAACCGAGGTTGTTATAAAGAAGTTTTACTATAGTATAAACATAATTTTTTGCTCAAATAAAAATGAAAATAGAAGTTTGTGTAAAATTTCGAACTACATGCTAAGCGAATTGTGCATTTAAATTTGGTTCAGTTTAAATAATCTATTAGATATTAGTAACGTAAAATGTTTTATTTTGTGTTACTTAAAAAAAATTATAACAAAAATAACAATAAAATATGAAATTTATATATAATTTTATGAGTTAATATATTCTCTATGACATAAATATATAAGTGTACTTTAAAGGTTCCATACATGAAACCTGTCATATTAACCACGTGAAAACAGTGGTGATCTTGACACACCTATTGACAATGTCCAAATAATGCAGCAGTGAGTATAACTCTTTCAAACAACCTAAATATGTGAAATATTGAAAATGTCCTAACGGTAAGCAAGCATATCGTCCGGCTGCTAGTAGAATATGAAAGGAGTATTATAAATATATATTATTATGGATGTTCATTTAGTACGCCGTTGTAAATAAGCTTCCTTAAGAAGCTTATCCATATGGGACGCCGCCCTAAATATGTTTATCTATTTGGTACCCTATTGGAAATAAGCCTCCTGAAGAAGCTTATCATTTCGGTACTCCGTTATGGATAAATATTATCCCCAGTAGAAGATTAATTATCTATATCTGATACAGTAGCAGCTTACAAGCAACTTACACAGCAGCTTGCAATAGCAGCTTACAAGCAACTTACAAGCAGCTTACACAGCATCTTGCAGTAGCTTGCTGTAGCAGCTTACTAGCAACTTACAAGCAGCTTACACAGCATCTTACAGTAGCAGCTTACACAGCAGCTTGCAAGCAGTTTACACAACAAGTTGCAGTAGCAGCTTACAAACAGTTTACTTAGCAGCTTGCAGTAACAGTTTACACAGCAAAATTTCTTTCTTCTATAAATAAAGAAGATTTCAATTTATCGTGTACATCAATTTGAAGTTGAATAATATATCAATCTCTTTCTATATTTATTTTCAGTTTATTTACTTTATTTTACAACAAGGAGCAATTTACAATTCCAAGGAACACTCTTGGAGCAAAATTTAATTGGCTGAGCATGGACGTAGCTTTGCATTCAGGAAATGCTTACACCTCATCCAACTTCCTGACACGAAAATAGCACGCGTCAACACCATATCATAAAAGGAAAACTTATATATGCAAACTAGGAAGCCAATGAAAAAGGCCAAAAACAAATGCAAAGTTGATTTGACAGGGTAGATAAAGAGACATAGTAAAAGAAGAAGTGCAAAATATATGGAGAAAAAAGAAATGGAGAGGCAACCAGATAAGGAATCAGACAAGAGTAAGTTAGAAGGTTTACCAGTAGATACAAGTCCTTATACACAATATAAGGATTTGGAGGATTACAAGAAACAAGGGTATGGAACACAAGGACATCAACAACCAAATCCTGGCCGTGGTGCTGCTAGTTCCACCGACGCGCCGACACTCTCCGGTGGTAGATCTGCCTCTGCTCACTCTCAGCTTTCTGCTACTGATACCATCAATCGCCAGGGTGTCCCTTAATTTGCTTAATGTTTAGTTATCAGAGGCAGATCTAGAGCTAGTTTTACGAGTTCAATTGATCTCATTACTTTCCGGTCTAAATAATGGGATCTCGTGTAACTATGTATACATATGAAAATGAAGTTTTAAATGTATACATATAATAAGAATTTTAGGTTTTTGTTGACATTGTTGCAATGTTGAATTTCGCGTGCAACTCTATATGTTTGTGTTGTTATGTATGTCTCATGTTCTTGTAATTTAATTAAATCTCACAAAAAAATTGTAACACGTTTATATATCCTAAAGCATTGCCAGGTTTTTATTACAGTGCGGTCTCAGTTTCGTCGCAATGGCTACGTGAATAGGCCTTTAATTAAGAGATGATGTGAATCTTGTGACAGTTTTCTTTTTTCCGTTTGGTAGGTATTCTGTATAAAGTACCTTCCTTTATGGTTAAACAAAATACATTTCTTACTAGGATTAGTCCAAACATCACATTCTTGCAAACAAAATACGTTTCTAACTAGGAGTAATCTATACGTCACATTCGTACAAAAAATATATTTTCCCAACAAAAAAAAAAGGCTATCCTTGAAAAAAATGATATCCACTAACAAAATAGTCGCCTGTATGAACATACGTACAAGAATGACATTGTTACACCACCACCATTATTTAACATACGTTGCTAGCGTTCGCCCATGAATATTTATGAAGATAAATAGAGTTATTGTCAATCTTTGTCATTGAGAGTGTCTTAGATCTGGTTCATATATGGTCCAGTTTTGGCCTCATCGATAGTCATTGTTTACCTAATCTTCAAATGCATATTGTCTTGTCCCTTGTTTTCCAAATTAATGGACTGAAACAAGTTTACGGTCTTCAATTAAAAATTCCAACTTTGTTTCCAAAAATCAGCAAATTTCCATCTGTGAACACCTTCTCGTAGTTGCCAGCTACAACTTACAATTAGAAATTTCTTTTGTTAATCTTGCGATTTGATTAACTATGCTGAAAGCTATACGCTCGCCTTTTGGCAAATAACAGTAAGCCTTCAGCAATACTTAATTAGATTGATGTGGCTTAAAAATGGCCACTTTTAGTTATTTGGAAATTGTTCCTGTCCAGATGAAAATAACAATTTGACTGTTACTCACATATTCTGATTTTGCAAGATTTTATGTGAGGTTACCAAATTTCCATTAGAGGCATAAATTAAAGGAAAAATTACACGACACATCAAATCAAATATATACACTGTATTTATCATTTGTAGCTGTACTTTCAGAAAATCATTTGTAGGTATATAAATTATAGCAAATCCACGATGAAAGTACAGAACAAGAGATAAGTATTTTGGGTTGAAACAAGATCGTGGTTTTGTTGGTTAGACCACTTGCTTAGTAGTTGAAGGTCTAAAGTTTGACTCTCAGCGAGAGCATTCTATTTTTTTGTATTTCCATTTTTAGTTGTATTCCTTGCGCTTCTTAATACAAATGATACAAGCGGGTAACATTTGAACAGTAACTATGAAGAGTAATTAAGCAAACTAAGTTGCAAATGATAATTAAGCTCTAAACTATAGTATTTTATAAAAATTCCTCTAAATTAAAGGCCCGGTAACATTGTGCTAACAAGAACAATTTTTGTATCATTAGGAGCTATTTCTTTAACATTAAATAGACAGAGGAGCAGCGTGTTTTTCAGACAGACACAACATGTTAATGTACCAATCAACAAATTTCAATTTGATGGGAAATATAGTAAAGTAAAAGTTAAAAAGAAGCCAGAATCGCTTTTGTGGTAGGAAGAAGCTAGTGACATCTGGCCATACCTAGCCTGAAGAGTAGGCAAATTGAGAACAAGTGAGTAATAAGAGAGAAAGCAAGATTCACAATTTAGGATCACAAGCTTTCCATGACATAACATTCAAGTCAATTCACCAACAAAGAACATAGGGTTCTTTTGGTTCACGAAACAGTTATACAGAGATAATAATTAGGGGTGTTAAATGGGTGTTAGGCCGATTTTGGGTGGGTTACGACGGGTTGAGATGAGTTTGGTCAAGACGGGCTAAAAATTGGGTCATAGCCCAATCCATCCAACTCTTATCAAACTTTACTTAATATGTATTTTTTTTTTTTTATGAAATGTATAACTACAAAATAAGACTTTTTTCCTTTCGTTACGATCATTTATAACATATCATACAAAAAAAAATTATTTCTAAGATATTTGGCAAAGTTACTATCAATTTGGACTAAGAATCAACTCAACTTTAAATGAGTCGAGATGAGTTGGATCAAGATAGATTGAGTTCAATAAATGGGTGGGTCAATAACCAGTCCAAATTTGGACGGGTTGGGTGGGTCATTTGGGTTTCAGCCAAATTATACAGCCCTAATTATAATATATCCAATCTTTTATGTGACGAATAGCAAAATCAAAATTGTTATACGATGGATAATAATATTGTATACAGCTAAAATCGGAGAGTCCAATCTTATGATCATTATGACGTCCATAGCCCGTCTCCAGAAGGCTCGAGGAACTGCTCAAGGTTCGACCCCGAGGGTTCCCTATGTTCGACCTCGGGGCAGTGCAAATCGTTGGCTATTGTCACGAACCAAAATCCACTAAGGGTCGTGATGGCGCCGGACACCATTGTCAGGCAAGCCAACACTAATTAATTAACAACTTCTTGTTTTAGATATCTCTGAAGTTACTTCTTTTATATATTTAAACAATAAAGAACAAGTACCACTGAATAAATAATAATATCTTTAACAATCTCAAATCCTGTATAATCCCATAGACATCCCAGAACCCGGTGTCACAAGTGCACGAGCAATTACTAAAAGAATCGAATAAAGTACAATCACTGTCCGGAATACAAATTGGACAGAAGTAAATACAATACGATGAAAGAGACTATACTGGATGTGGGTCGCCTCAAGAAATGCAGCTCACCTAGTCTCTGTATCATCCATGCTGCTATGCCCAATAGACCGCTATAAATACATGTGTTTGTGCAACAAAATGCACGGCAAGCGTAGCATGAGTACGAAAACAACGTGTACTCAGTAAGTATCCTGCCTAATCTTGAAGAAGTAGAGACGAGAGGTCGACTTCGACACTTACTAGTGGTCCAATAATAATACACAATTAATATAATAAAATCAAGGATTTTTTTTATAAAGCATAGTCGTGACTTAACAGAATGAAACAAGTACTCAATGCCTTTATTCAAAGGGTAATTTCCAAATTTCGTTTCCATCAATTATACATTTTATTCTCAAGTCAGTGAGTGACACTATCAACTTCAATGAATTTCAAGGCAAGCAATACAAGCATGCGCAACTCATGCCGAGGTCGTACGGCCCGATCCAACAATATTTAAAATGTGCACTGCCAGAGGGTCGAATGGCGCGAACCATAGATGCATCTATTATCCCGCTCGCGAATCATACATGTGACGCGGTCAAATACAAATAAATAATCATCCTACTCGCGGATCATACATGCGACGCAGGTACACATAGAAACACATATTTAAACAGTCAATCAAGACTTCATCTAGGAAACAATTGTTCATGGAGGTGTACATTTCTCTTTTACAAGTCAAGAAAATGAAGTTTAACTCTTTTAGAAAATTATTTTCCACTTCGATATGATTTAAGCAAATTAAACCATCAATAAAGTTAAAATTATTACAAGTAAGTATGCTTTTGGGTCCTAGACTACCCGGACATAGGCATGATAGTAGCTACGCACGGACTCTCGTCACCTTGTGCGTACGTAGCCCCCAACAATTAATTTACCTACGAGGACAATTTCCTCTTACAAGGTTAGAAAGGAGACTCACCTCGCTCCGAAGTTCCATAACCGGCATTCCACGCCCTTCCGAAGACTCAAATTGATACACCACGCTCCAAAACTAGTCAATAATTATGCAAATCCATTAATATATGTTCAATTACTTATTACAATCCAATTTATAATAATTCCTAACCCCGATCGAAAAGTTGACAAAATCACCCTCGGGCCCACGTGTCCGGATTCCAAATTTTTTCGAAGATATAGTTTACCCATAACCTGACCAACTCAAATATATAATTTACTCTTAATTTTATATCCAAAACCGTGGTCAAAATCCAAGAATACTAATTTTCTAGGTTCCCCCCTCAAACCCCAACTTTCTACCAATTTCTATACTTTAACCCGCGATAAAACCATGTATTTAACTTACAAGAGGTGGGATTAACTTACCTCATGATTGATGGTGAAATCTCTCTCTTCAAAGGCTCCAAAATCGCCCAACCCAACTGAAAAAATGAGAGAAAATGAACCAATTCCGTTCTTTAAAACAACTCACTGCCTCCAGCCTTTTCGCACCTGTGGTCCCTCGACCGCTTCTGCGGTCCCGCAGGTGCGGATCAAACACCGCTTCTGCGGCCCAGGGCTCCCAGCCCATGCCCGCTTCTGCGTCCTCTCCTTCGCAGGTGCAGTCTCGCATTTGCGGCGAGACGACCGCATCTGCTATCCCAGCTCTCCCCCATCAAACCGCATCTGTGACCTTAGAGCCGCTTCTGCGACTCCACACCTGCGGCCAAAACCTCACAGGTGCGGTTACACCAGATACCAGCTGCATCAAACCTTCTCCAAATTCCATTCTTGGTCCGTTAACCATCCGGAATCCACCCGGGGCCCCCAGGACCCCAACCAATCATACAAACCAGTCCCAAAATACATTACGGACTTTCTCGAGGCCTCAAATCATATCAAACAACGCTAAAATCATGAATCGACCTCCAATCCAAGCTTAATGAACTTTAGAATTTTAAACTTCTGCATTCGATGCCGAAACATATCAAATTATGTCTGATTGACCCCAAATTTTGCACACATGTCGTATTTGACATTACGGACATGCTCCAACTTCCGGAATCGAAATCCGACCCCGATATCAAAAAGTCCACTTCTGGTCAAACTTCTCAAAAACCTTCAAATTTCTATCCTTAGCCAAATGACTCCAAAACGACCTACTGACCTCCGAGTTCACTTCCGATCGCGCTCCCAATACCAGAATCACCACACGGAGCTATTCCTAGACCCGGAATCCCAAACGGACATTGATAACATTGAAATGCGCTTCAACCCAAATTTATGAAATTCCTCCAAAATACTAACTTCCACATCAGGTGCCGAAATGTTCCCGGGTCTTCCAAAACTCGATCCGAACATACGCCCAAATCCAAAATCATCATACGAACCTGCTAGAACCTTCGAATCCCGGTTCCGAGGTCGTTTACTCAAAAATCTAAT